CAGATATTTTGTCTTAGATATTTCTCATCTTATTTTTACTACATACATATATATATATACATGTATATATAGATACATATATATATATGTTGAATATACATGAATACAGACACACACAACCACTGCAAAGCAGGAACAACCTCCTCACTCCACATTCTTCTTTTTGATTCAAATGCAAGTGATGCAGTTGAGGCGTTTTCTGTATCTCATCTACATACAACCCAATCTTCCCAAATCATTTAATGTAGTCATTAGCTAAATGAAGTTGTCAATTACCTATCACCAACGAGGCTGGCCAGCATGGGGCTTTCCTTTGGTTGCTTGTGGCCACTGAGTCGTGTTTGTTCTGCTCTAATGTTAGCCAGGCAATATTTTGGGCTTATTTTTAAAGCTTGATTTCTTGCCTTCATTCACTCGTTGTGAAGTTCATATAGTCAATATAATAAATATTTTTAGATCCTCCCTTTTCATTATTACCCAGCCATAAGGACATGTAACACTGTATTTACCAGAAAGACCCTAAAGCCTTCCAGACTATCACGTTACTCCTGATTTTGGCATTTCTTAAAAGGGATTTCTTTCCTAAACCCACTACACTGTAATGGCTCTTAAGAAGCTGTTACTGTCTCGAGTGCAAATCCTTCTTAGTTTGTGTATTATTGACCTGATCAAGTGTGATGGGGGCCTTGGATGAGCCTTTGGGGGGATTTTCTGGCTGTTGTGGGTAAGGAGCCCTGCAAGAAAACGCTTCGGGAATTTTCATTGGAAATAGGAGGAAATGAGGGGACTCAGCCAGGGTTGGGGGACCAGGCTACAGCCCTTCACATGCCTTTCACTCACCCTGTGGGGCAGCTTTTAAAAAACTTGAAGTATTTAATATAAGGGAATAAAACCTCCGACAACGTATCTGAAGGAGGGTTTAAAGGCTGCCTGTGGGATGCAGAAATGCCCCCAAACAGCCTGATTCTGCAAAGACACAGGTGCACTGTTTCACTTCAGTAGGTTGGTTTTAGCAGATCCTACAGACAACGAACTTGTTTAAGCAACTGCCTAGTATCTCAGGATGGGTGAAGTCCTAAAAGTGGAATAAAAGACATTTTCTTCCCTCTCTCAGCTGTATTTACACCCAAACCACCCCCCTAAAATCAGAGAGTTCAAAGTGAAAATCCTGGCAGCCACTTTAACAACAACAAAATCCCACAAATGATATCATTCTGCCTTTCCACTTGGAATAAGAAAATACAGCTTTCTGCCCAATCCTGTAATCAGCTTCTCACGGGCTGACCCAGCTAAGCCCCAGATCAGGACCCTGCTCCCGTGGTGCCCTCTGCGGCCCTGCAGCATTTTTGCAGTTCGCGCTTCGACAAAACGTCATCATAATTCAGCAAAAATACAACATTTTGGCAAAGGAAGAAGCAGAGAAAACAAAAAATAATTGACTTCAGATGTCAGGCAGCCACCGATCAGTTGTCTGAAATTTTTTTTTATTATTTTAGGGAATGGCTTCTGTCATCTGCTGTGATGTGTTTGCCTTTGGGAACGGGTTTAGGCACCAAAATATCGCCCCGCTCACTGGAGAAGTAGAAAAGGGATTTCTTTTAGCAAAAATAAAGCAAGGTGGATCCCAGAGAATCACGTTGAAGAGCTTGGAAGTGGAAAATGTCGTGCCTTTTTCAGAAGCAGAGATCTTCTACACGTGCCACGCACTGATCTGAAATCAAGAGGCAGCTTTGCAGGAGCGAGGGAAAACCTGGCTGCAGAACGAGGTCTGGGGGAGGGTGCAGAGAAGCCACAGTTAGTGGGAACATCTTGGCTTCGAAGATGATGCCTCAGCCTTTTGTCCCGTTCCGTCAGGACCAAACCCCATTTGGTATTCAATTGACTTTCTAACTTAGGAGACAGGACTTTTCCATCTTCAAATACTGAGAATAGATTGCATTCTTGGCCCTTTGCTTTGAACGGTTGGGGAGAATAAACGCTCACCCTGGTCGTGTTCTAGTGATCTCCCTAATCTCGGTTGCACTTTGTCAGGACGAGGTAACTGGTAGTTAAGTGAAATACCTTAGATCAAAGGGGGATTAATCGCCAACTGAATCCTTGCTGAATAAACCTGTCATTCAAGAAAATTATTTCCACTGAACTTAGCAGAGGATTGGAGGTATTTGCATAACAGGGACCAACGTACTTCAGCCAGGTTAAAAGGTTCAGAATTCAGGCAGTGTTTAGCTTTTTGGCTCCTTTTCCTTTCAGCAGCCCTGTACAATGGTTTTTAATCTGATAATACAGCTAACTATCTAAATGATGTCAGAACAGGAAAGTATTGCAAAGTTTGGCTGAGGGATGGATCAATTTCACTTTCAGTAACTCCTAAATCTGATTTGTTGGAATTTAAGATGTAATCCTTCAAAAAAGTCCCTTTAAACCAGAGGGCTGTTTATTAACATCCTTTTTTTATTTGACCTTTGTCTTAGAAACACTGGGTCTTGCCTGCTGCCTTACCCAGGGCTTTTTTGGGATGGTTTCATACAGGTTTAGACCCCGGGCTGGAAGTGAAGCCCATGGATCAGCATGTCCACGGTGTGTGTGGGTCTGTGCAAACACACACAGGCAAACAGATCTTCAGGTTGTTTATTTTTTTGGTTCTTATTTTTGTCTTTTGAAGCCTGTCTCTGGGAGGTCACACTGAATTTGAATGAGATGGAGGTAATGAAATAACGGGACCCAACAGGCTGCCTTCAGTTTCTGGGATCAGGCCTCGGGAGAGATTGAAGCACCCGAGCCTCGTGCAGGGTTTGTTCTGTGGTTGTGGCGACGATTTTAAACCATACAAATCATCCCTGTTTTATGCTTTTTGCTTTTCATGGAGAATTCATTTCTCAGAGAGAGAGAAGAAGGGATGTTCAAGGCTGGAAGGCAACGGTTTTTTTAATCTGAATTATAATAACTGGGAAAAACAGTTAAAAACCCATAGATTTCTGGAGAATTATTTATGCCATCTCCCTCCTCAGCCTTCCTGGGGTTCATTTGGAAGTGCTTCCACCACTCCTACCTTTTGGGTATATGGAAGGATGTCAAGCTACATGGTGGATGTCAGGTTTCATAATCAGATTTTGACAATAAATAGAATTTAGGCACTTCTGCATCTAGCCTGTGCCTGACACTGCTCATTCTGTCAGTGGGCGCAGTTCATATTCATTGCAAACTCAAAGCATCTTTCAAGTTGAAAAAAATTGCAAAGAATGGTTATCAAAGCAAATGAATAAAATCCATATTGAGATAATTTTTTAGAAAATGATTGAAGTTTTAACCCAAGAAAGGACTCTTAGAGTTTCTTATAGCTTAGAATAAGAACATGTCAATCACGATTAAGCTTCTGGAATTGGAATCCCTTTGAAATGCAGCTGTTTCTTCTTTAATTGTGGCAGCGGACTCAAAAGAAAAGAAAGGTCCAGCCTTAAAGATGAGTAAGGAATACAAAATAGCTCAGGATTAGTTGTGGAGTTCAAAGGTCGCTAATTACACTAAGGAGTTCCCAGACACAGGGAAAACATTAAACAGGTCACCTACCAAACGGGAAACAGACTTTGACTTCAAAAAAAAAAAAAAGAAGGAAAAAAAGATCCTGAAGAGATAGGTTTCTAGAGAATATCAAAAGCAACCAGCTGATCTCATTGGGAAGAAAATGGGATGGGTTAAGTTCTCTGCTGTTATGTGTCGCTACAAGATGGCATCAGGCTTTCAAAAAATTATCTGGAGGTCAACCAGGTTTCTAGGAGGCTCCAGGAAAGCAAGAAGGGGAAAAGGGAGCAGGCCTTTGCCTTAAAAATACCTGGTTTTTAGTTGCATTGTGAGTAGTGAGTCTCTGAAAAAAAACCAAAACCAACAAACAACTTCATTGAGACTTGCCCATCAACATTTGGCTTGATGTGTTAAGGATGAGCCACATGTGCAAACAGGTGCATCTTGCATGGGAAGCCTTTTGGGAGAGCCTTGCAGCCCCTTTGAGGTTCAGTTTGTGATACATTGCCACCCTTTCCCCTGGCAGAAGCCCAGCTCCTCTTTTCCAGCTGTTCTCTGGTCCCACTGACTTGGGATGGAGTGGTGGGACTGCCATCCTGCATGTACAGGATGTCTGGAGGAATGGCAGTCCCACCAGTCCATCCCAGAGGACTAGTGGTTTGCTGCTTCCTGTGGCCCTCCCAGGAAACAGGACAACCAGCAGCGTGTCCCTAAGAGCCTTTCAGGAGAAACCAGCATCCTTGGAACTCGAGTTCTGGTCCATAAGAGACAGTTGTCCTGTCTCCTGGAAGGGCTTCAGTAGTAATGAACCTTTGGTCCTTGGGAGCAGGGTGTGGATGGAGAGAGCCAGTGGCTTTACTGCCAGTCTGCTCACAAGAGAGAGAGTTTTTAGGATAACACTTTTAGGAAAACAGAGCCTGTTTTCCCTTGTATCTTGCTCCCATGGATGAATCATCATGTTTGATGATTCCTGCAAAAACGGGAGATTGGGGCATCAAAGGGCAAAAAGAGATTTGTGAACATAATGAAGGAAAGTTGTAGATAACTGAGGAGATTCACCATTCCCAGAGGCCTATGCTGGGACTGTACAGGGTCCTACTTGGGCCTAAGGAATTTTTGGCATTGATGTCACCTGGAGTCAGACAGAGAGTTGAAACTCTGTTCCCTGCACCTGAATAACTTGGGGTGCCATGAAGGGAGGAGAGCTTAGGGACAACCCCAAGGTGCCCCTGGTGGGCTCCCTGCTGACAGCCAAATGATACTATAGCAGCACTTCCAAGGAAGCTTGCACTTCCCAAACTGGAATCCACAAATCTGTCATCTATCTAATGGCTCCTTCAGATTGCAGCCTGCAGGGATGTCCTGCCATGGTTCCCTCAGGAGGGACATGACTTCAGGTGGCCTTGATTTTTTCCACCCTAAAAGATGCTGTTGGTAATACCTTGTGTTTTGTCCATGTTGACTATTCAGTAATTTCTTACTGCAGGTACAATGTGGTCCTGGTTCAGATCCCAGCCTGAGGACTGAGCTCTCAGAAGCTTCAGGGTCTGGACATTTTTCCTTCTGGAAATTGTGGCCACATGGGTTGGTGAGAATTGCACCAGTGCCAGGTACTCCTCCTGCATTTTTGCTCATTGTGCTTTCAGTGATTCCACTGCTCCTTCTGGCCACAGCAATGCACATCTAAGCCACCTGTCAGGTCTTTTTGACACTCTTTGTCCCCCTTTTCTTCTCACCCTGTATCAATGGCATCTGTTCTCAGATCATGTGCTGGAACATCTACTTTTTCTCTTCTTCAGAGACATTCAAACAATCAGGGTTTGAACGAGGCCTCCAGTAATTGCTGCTCCTCAGCCACTGCACCCTCTGTTGAACTTCATCAAAGCAAATTCTCCATTTGCTTCCACACCTTCCAGAAAGTGTCAAATAACACAGTCAGGCTCCAAAACATGTTTGATGATGGTTCCCCATTGCCACTGCATTTGGAAAGGTCAGGCAGTTTTTAATGTTCAATAGTTTACACATGGACTTTGTATCATTTTAATTTCTTAAGAGGTCTGTTACTTCAGTTTTCTTTGCCAACTAAATGTGCAGTCTCATCTAATAAAGTTTGACAGTCTGTATTTGCTTTAAATACCTGTTACCTGGCATTAGTTACATTACCCCAAAATTTTAATGAAATCAAGCAATTTCATTTTCTCAATGAAGCAAGTTCTATACTAATTTCTAATTTATACCCATTATTTTGTTAGGGAAAAAATGTTGGGTTGACAAGCCAGTATTTCTTTAAGTCCTTCTGGTTATTCATTTCAGGGGTTAGCATGTTGGTTTTCTTCTAACCCTCTGAAATGTAAAACTAATACTTTTTGGCCACCTCTCTTCCAAGCCCTGGTGCAAATCCATCTGCATTGATCTCATACAGTTGATATTTGTAAGGAAATTATAAATAGAAGCCCTTCAAGCAGCAAGCACTCATGGATCAAGAGAGAATTCTTATTTTTTCCATTTAACACAGAATATCTTTAAGTGATTGTTGTATTATCTTCAAAAAGCTAGTTGATTTTTTAGAGCTAGAGGAATACCACTGACATAGGGCTTAATCACCTTTAGAGCCCACCAGAAGTATTGTTAGATACCACCTCTGCTGTGAAGACCTCAGGCTCACATGACCGTTCAATCTTATCTTCCTAATTTAGTTTTTGAAATGTTTTTTTTCTTCTTTTAAAACAGTAAAAATGATTAAAAAGTAGAGAAACAGTGAAATTGTCAGAAGAACTAGCAGGGAACACACAGAAGGGTTTAGTAATTCATAACTCTTTGAACTCTGGCTTCCGGTGTTGTCTCCCTATTTGCTGCCCAGCCCTGGGGACACCTGGAACCTCTACACACATCACTCATTTCTCTCCATGCCTTTTGTTCTGCAGGTCATATCTAAAGGCATCTCAGTCATGATGGACCCAAGTTGCTAGCCACCTAGTTTACTAAGCTTACCAAGTCTACTACTAAGCTTAATTTACTAAGATTGATGAAGCATTCATGAGAATGAGCCCTTCCTCTTCCCAAGACAAGTGTAGCCCTCATGCCAAAAGAAAGGCTTCACCTGACTCTTTCTCCACCCATGTGGGTGTCTCACAGTTGTTGCACCAGCCTGCAGGACTAAGGTGTGTGCCAGTTTAACCTGATCTGGTTTGCTGCCTGGCTCCTTCACAGGTGCTTGGAGAAGACTGCATACTCAAGCCTGCCAGAGAGACCTCAGCCAGGCTTTTCAAAAAAGGCAGATACAGCCTCTGTTCCCCACTCCTCTTACTATAGACCTGTCCCTGGGCAGGGGCAGAGCAGGGCAGCATGAACTTACTACCTGTAAGCAGAGTTTATGGAGCAAACTCTTACAATAAATCAAAACAGGTGATGCCTTGCATGAAGTTGTAGAAAACTGCTCAGGGCTAGAAGAGAAAAACATCACCCACACACTCTCTCCCTCCCTCCAAACATGCAGTGAGGGGTGTGAACAAAGTCATCTAAAGCAGCAGCTCCCTCCCAGTCCTCAGCACTGCAGCTCTCCTGACCTTGAGTTACAGACATGGACAAGAGGGAAACAAAAAGGAACATGACTTGGGGAAGACCTCTGGCTACTAAGTACAAGGGGGATTGTCTTCTAATGTGCTGCAAATTTTTACAGTCCCACGGTTTCACAGCGTTTCTTGGGGAAAATTCTGCAAAGAAGAGGAAAAGCCACTTCTCCATGGGGCTGCTCTGCAGAATCAACACCTCCCATCTTACTCATGGGTAGGTGGAAAGCAAACATCACACCTTGAAAACCTGTGGTGGGTGCCTGGCGTACGGAACAGGATCTAAACACTTCCAACAGAGGGACCCCCTCTCTCCACTCACATTGTGGTGTTCAGGCCTGCAGATGACCATAATTGGTAGGGTCTGGTTTCTGGGCAAAAGAATTAATTCACCTTTTGTCTGCTAATGATTTGGGACACATCTGTAAAATGGACACATCACCTGTCAGAAGTGGGTCACAGCCAAGCTCTTCTTTATGTTTGCAGAGCAGCTTCAGCTGAACGGCATATTTCACATGAATTAATCCACCCTTTGGAACATTCAACCAACCAATTAATATCTTAATCTAAGTATTTTTTAAATTATAGCTCAAAACTTTTCTCCTTGCATAATCACTAATCTTATTTATCACACAGCGTAGAGTTAAACAAGAGGTAGGGCAGGAACAGCCAGCGTGCTCAGTTATTAGATGGCATTCTTCTCTTCTTTTGTGCTGTTCTACAGGTTCTCTCAGTTTTTCACCAGCCTTTCAGAATTTGCTGGTTTCCTGATAACTCTCTTAAAGTCTGTTTCCTGTGTTCCTGCAGACACCAATTTTCTTCTCAAAATTAGAGCTCTGCTTCTGTAAACTCTGTCCTTTTCTGTCTATTTTTCCAGGGAAAACTGCTCACTGATGGTGTTTTGGAACCTCCAGCCAACTTAGCTGGTTTTGCCTGCTCAGAACTAGTCTTGTGATTTGGAAAAACAGGTTCATACCTCTGGATCCTCACTAACATCAGCTTTCAGAGCAGTGTAGTTCACCAGCATGTATGAAGGGGAACTCCAGGATCATCTCCACTTGTAGAAGTGCTGCTCATGGCCTACTCTCCCTCTTAAAATTCTTGTAAATTACTGACTCCTACATACTCTGTATGAATCTTGTGAAAATAACAGAACTCTTGCTGGCCTAATTGTCCTGTTAACCTGGGCTCTAATCAGATTCTTGTGACTTCATGGCAGGAACAAGATACTGAAAGCTTTCATGTTCCATGAGCTTTGGTTTACAAAACCCATGGAGTAACTGGGAGTCCTCCTGGAAGACATGTCCAGTCATACCAGTTTGTACCTGTTTCACTACATACTTATCTTGTACCAGTTAATATTAGAAGCAAATGAAAAATGGTGGCCTTGGGAAGTACATTTCAAAGTACCCCCTCTAAGCTGTCATCCATGTTGGCTTTTCCCAATCACATTTTTCAGTTGGTTTGTGACCAGTCTTGACTTGTGTCCCATACTTAACGGGTGGCTACAAAGAAGATGGAGATTCCCTATTTGCAAGGAGTCACATGGAAAAGACAAGGGACCATGGGCACAAGTTGCTTCTGGGGAGATTCCAACTGGATACAAGAGGTAAATGTTTCACCATGAGGACAGTCAAACATTGGAATAGTCTCCCAATAGAAGTGGTGGATTCCCCCACACTGGACAGTTTTAAGTCTCAGCTTGACAGGGTGCTGAGCCATGTCATATCAACTGTAGCAGTACTTAGAGAGGTTGGGCCAGATGATCCTTGAGGTCCCTTCCAACCTGACATTCTGTGATTCTATAATTCATCCAGGACTAAACAATTTTAAACCAACTTAGGTTTTTAAAAGAAGTGACTTCTTTCATTTTTCCTCAAAAGAAATTTTTAAACATACCAACTACAAGTGCTGAAGATTTATTTTCACAATATCATGACATGACTCTCTTTAGATGTCTGTTTTAATTAAATACAAAAATAATTCACAAGAAAATTAATCCAATGAGGCTTTGTACACCATAGGTGCTGGTGCTTTGGAATTCCAGGTGTAGTCATCAGAAGAAATTAGTTCTTGGGCTAAATAAAAAAAAAGAAGAAAACAAACAGGCAAGAAAAATAAGCATTACAGAGTGTCTTGCAGTCAGGCATTCCTTCATCCAAGTTAAAGAGACTACTAATCCTTCCTTACTAGTTTACAGAAAAGGTATAATGGCTTCTTTAAACTGTAAGACTCTTACTATTATTTGAAAATAGTTTCTGATAATGAGACGTTTAAAGTCTCAGCTTCAATTACCTTTACTAATGTATCAGTCATGAGCTTAAAATTTAAACAGAGGTTAAGTCAAAAGCAGGTGGATGGCTTGGGATTCTGTTCAATGAATATAAATTGCATACTCCATATAAAACATCCAGCATGAAAATGTTCTTTTGATGGTGTTACAATTTAAGACTGAATGTGGTCTGTCACAAAATTAACAGTGTAGTTTTCAAAAGGCACTTACAGACTTCTGCTAACATGACTGACAGAAATTGTAACAGATGGACAGTTGCCAACTCCACTGAGCTGCTCAGGCCACCTGTGAGATGGATGCCCAGAGAAGCTGTGGCTGCCCCATCCCTGGAAGTGTTCAAGGGCAGGTTGGATGGGGCTTGGAGCAACCTGGTCTAGTAGGAGGTGTCCCTGCCCATGCAGGGGGTTGGGACTAGATGGTCTTTAAGGTCCCTTCCAACCCAAACTAGTCTGTGATTCTATGAATCTATGAAACAGAAGATCAGAAACTGTGTTCTTACCCAATACACACATGACACCTCTGACAAAAGCATCCTAACCAAAAGGCCAGACTATGGAGAAGCATTCTCTGCCCCCGTAGTAAAAGTTCTGCCATTATGCAGAGCACAGAACATTTCAAGGTGAAGAGTTGAGAGCCCAAGAGAGAGCCTGACTTTGTAACTGAGTAATAATAGCTTTCATTTGAAAGGAGGTATTAAATAAATGACATTTTTAAACAACTCACATGCAGTAATTTTGGGTTTTCCTGGTGCAAAGATCTGAATAGAATGCTGGTCTACATAACATCCAGTAAGTGTGAAATCTGGGATCCTAAAATACATCTGTGGAAAGGGGGAAAACATCATCAGATGCAAATACTGATCACCTGTGTTTCAAGCTCTTGGTGTGCAAGCACACCTCAAAATGACAGGATGTCAGGTCCTGAAAGCAAGAAAACAAAACTCCATGCTGGGCTAACAAGCCAAATGTTAGCCAAAGGGACCAACAATGATGTCTGATTTAAAATCAACACCACTTCATAGCCAATTTAAGATAATAAATGCATGACTACTAAGGCCTCTTTTCACAGAGCCTGTGACTTACTTTCACATAAGCAGTATTCCCAGTGCAAACATAATCCGTTGGGTGCTCTTTGCCTGCAGTGCCAAAAGACACAGTTCCTGTCAGGGAAACTCCCAAAGACTTAGGGAACTTCTGTCCTAAAGCCAGAAACAGCATCTGTAAGAAATTATCCAGCTGTGCCTACAACTATTGACAACAGTCTGGGGGAGGAGGTAAGAGTTCAGAGGGCTGTTCTGCTTACCAAATGACCCAAACCACAAGGCTCTTCTCTTGTGACAAATCCAGTTGGCCATAACTAGCTTTGTACTCTAATTGAGTGATTTGGCCCCTGCAGTGTGACAGAGGAGAAATAAAATCATTGGAATGAGCATCATTCAGTATTTTTTAACAGCCCTTTTGTTAAAGAAAGCAACAAGTTGCTGAAAGATATTATTTATGTGCCTACAGACACATCATACCTATCTGAGCACACCACTAATTTATGGAAAGATATTACAGAGCAGGAGAAAATCATCATGGTTTTAACCTAGTAATCATAAAGAGCTGTTGATATTTTACCGTCTTCCCTTGATTGATAGTGTTTTACAAACACTGTGATCAGCATCAGCAACTTTGTATCATTTCATCTTTAGATTTGCATGATAATTATGGGACAGTGCAGCCATGGCAGCTGCCAGAGAGGGTTACAAGGAAATGGTTGTTTTAATTTTAAATAACTATATTTTTGATATATAGGATTAGCATTCTTAAGGAACAGGTAACCCTGGGTTGGAAGTGATCTTGAGACTCAAGCCACCTGGAGGATTGTGGCAGGGTTTCATGTGAAAAAATGCTACAGGGAAACAGGATGCCCAACAGAAGTATTCAGAATGTTACCCAATATTCTGGTGCAATTTTGTATTCTGGAAATCACAAGAATTCCAAGGGGGCTTCCTGAAATTTACAAGGTTGGTGTCCATGTAGTACTATTGACGCCTGACGGGCTAATTTCAGGAAGATCAGAGAAATGGAAGAATGTATTTAGGATTTTTTTATTCTTACCTGTTGAAAAAAGGCAGACGAGCTTCACAATACTCAAAAGAATTCTTTATGCTTTCATGAAGTTTTAAATTAACAGTAATTTTAAACTGTGATCCCTCTTCAATGAGTTGGTAACATCCCAAAATTGGTGGAACGGGAACCTGGAAAAAAACTACATTCATTTTCAAGATAAATTTACATCATCATCATAAGATCAGTTATATACCATTTTAATTGATAAAGGACTTTAAAATTCTTTAGTGTAAGAGTGGTGAGACACTGGAACAGGTTGCTCAGGGAAGCTGTGGCTGCCCCATCCCTGGAAGGGTTCATGGCCAGATTAGATGGGGCTTGGAGCAACCTGGTCTGGTGGGAGGTGTCCCTGCTCACACAGGGGGTTGGAACTGGATGATTTTGAAGGTCCCTTCCAACCCAAACCATTCTGTGACACTATGAAGAAATAACAAACATATTAATTGCTGACTGCCAAACTCTTCAGGCTCCTTGCAATACAGATTGGTGTTATAAGCACTTGACATGTCAGCCTGGATATATTTGATCTAATTCAGGCATCATTTAAAGTAGGAGCAGCCATGACAAGCAGTCAAAGGTAGTGGCACCTCCTGCATATGACTCAGATGACTCAAGTCCTGAAGTGCCTTCCAAGCAGTTTATTATGTAAAGACCATGTTGCCCCCCTGTATCTGACTGAGCATCATTCAGACCTGTTCAACAACACAGATATTTTTATTCCCATGTGAAGGCTGGAAAGGGTCAGGGATGTTATTACCTGGGAAGTGTAGTAACACAAGTTGAATGAATCTGAAGGAGGAATGAAAGGAAAGTTGTAAGGTCCACTGTACATGGAATCATCCAGTGGCTCAGCACTGCTGGACAGCAGCATGGCAGGGTCAACAGAGGTCACACAGTGATGTACCATGATATCTTGGAGAGGAGGACCATTAGTTGGGATATCCAAGCTGAGGGTTACGTTTGGTGCAGACGCCTCTATGTCACACTTGAAAAAACAAAGTCAAGAAGTTACTCTGGAGTATTTCCCTCAAGTCAGAATTAGATGTTCAAAAATAGATGATAAGCATTAACCAAAATAAAACCAAACAACAACAAAAAAATCACACTATCACAATTTTCAAACTAGATGATCATTAAGGTCCCTTCCCACCCAAACCATTTCTATGACTCTATGGTACTGACAAAGACAGTCAAAGCCAAGTCTGTTTCCCACTTCTGTAGCCTTTTCCACAGCTCAGCAAGTGATGCAGTCACAGCCAAACACCTCTCAACTGACAAGTACCCTTTAGCAAGAAAACAGCAGATAAGCAAGCCAAGGACTTGCTGTACAGCCTCATCGTTACGAACATTACATAAACAGACTATGACTCTATGGTACTGACAAAGACAGTCAAAGCCAAGTCTGTTTCCCACTTCTGTAGCCTTTTCCACAGCTCAGCAAGTGATGCAGTCACAGCCAAACACCTCTCAACTGACAAGTACCCTTTAGCAAGAAAACAGCAGATAAGCAAGCCAAGGACTTGCTGTACAGCCTCATCGTTACGAACATTACATAAACAGACCCAGTGATAGTTTAATTAATTCAGTTACTTTTACAACATCTCCTTAATGGATTCAAGCATGCTATTAATGGCCACTGTGGTCCCATGTCAGTGTTCTCACAGCAACCACGTGAAGCATCCATTGTCTGGTCCCGCCGTGTGCCAGCTCAGCAGTGCATGATTACACCAGGGCTTTCTTCTTAAGCAAGACCATCCATCCTGCAAGATGACCTAGAAACACGTCCCTCCGAGAGTAGGAAGCTGTTCACCCACATAATCCCTACCAGCGTGGCTGATGGAAAACAACCCAGTCTTTGGAAGTGCAGTACTCAGGTTGGCTTCCTTTGGAGATGAGTATCCCACCTCTTGCAAACAATTAAATTGCCATGATCCTCTTTATTAGTTCTTTTTCCCCTCTTAAAGCACTGGCAGCTACAAATATATTACACTGTGATAACAGTGTGCTTCCTCAGCTTAATTCAGGACTAAGAATGTTAAACGCATCAACCATAGAAAACAAAAGCATGAATATATTCCCTAATTATTATTAATATAGTCAAGATTCCCTTATTTTTAGTAATAAACAATGAAAACTATTGTTTAATACTAAAACTATCATCACATACAAAAACATTCAAAATAATTATACAATCAGTTTCTTTCACCACAGTCTGTATCAACAGGTCTTACATCAGCCAAACAAACAGCATTTGTGGATTCAAAATGTTGTTGTAATAGAATAAAGTAGGAAAGAAGATTAAACTTGCATTTGGTAGGAAAATTAATTAAAAATGCTCAAGTAGAGACACTTGTGGAAGACTCATTCAGAAATTCTATTTCTAATCATTATTTAACACATTGTTTATTAGCTGGAAAGAAACCATTTCTTAGCCTCTATAGGCAAAGACTCCATGACATTATTTCTCCCTACTTCCAATAAAATAAGAAAAAATTGGGAAAATAGATGCAATGTAGCTATGGATGGAAATTTAAGTCCCATTAATAGTTATGGAAAAAATGCATGAAGCATGCAGGGAAACAAATCAGTAAAGATCAAAATAAAAACTGTTGGTAGCACAGCAATCTAATATGAAATATCTCATGACACTTTGAAATAGTACAGCATAAGAAATTTACTGCTCACACACCCAAGTAAAATGCCATGTGTATTTACTTTCCCAGTTGTGTTTGCATGAGAAATACTTAGTAAAGACTTGCACCAAAAAATGCTCTCACCTTGCAGTTTACAGCTCCATAAACTTGCCACGTGCCCACAAAATCTCCCTTGTCATACTGCACACACTTGACCTTTTCAGTGATACAGACATTAAGCTGAGGTTTGCCTTTGTAAGTGTTGGATCTCCAAGCTGGTTGGGTTCTCATCTGCAGGCGTCTCCTGAATGTCATCAAACGAGCTGCTTAAGCTGCGAATGTTTGTGTTTAAGGGGGTGCCAAGGGGACAGGCCTGGATAAGCAGATTTCAAAGCTGGGCTATTTTTGCAGTCATCTCAGCTTCATTTTTCCGACTTGGAGAGATGTAGTCCACAATGCCCAACAGAAGAGCCAGATCTTGCAAAAGCCCAAGAACAGTGAGGAGGGGTGGCTGTGGCTCCCAGGTATCCTCAACTAGTGAAAGACACGCACATATCAGACCACTCTTCTGAAAAGCAAGGATAGGCCAGAGGTCCCCTCCTTCGGTGCGAACGGAATACGCTGACGAATTATTGATTTGAGTACAAGTATCTTGGTGCTCCACAAAAATGTGGTCATCTGGGAGTCTCAGTTCAAACAGCAGAGCTTTAACAAAAGCACTGTTGGATGGTACAGGCACATGTGTTGACCCGTTGAAGGTCTCAGCACGTACCTCCACAGTGGGGTAACGCCTGGAAATGAGAAAGTCTTAGTGCTACACATCTTCTCCCACCCAAAATCTCACACACCAAGAGTCCACAGGAGGAGAACTATGCAATCCCTTTTCTAACAGTGATAGAATGTAAAAGCTTTATAAAAATGTTTTTGATAATAATAAAAAATTGTGTAATCCTTGACGTAATCAAGGATGGGTTTATCTTAGATATTCAATTAACTCCCAAAGCCCCCCTGGTCCTAAAAGTAACCTTGTGCAAGTGGAGTCCAGCAGTGTCCTCATGGAAAGTGAGAGGATCAGTATCTAAATCTTTGTCAATAAAACTACCTCACGAGTAATTAGAATTCATTCTAGCAGGTGATTTTTTACTGGAAGCATTGAGCAATATATTAATTCATTTTTTAAATAAAATGTGGACCTGTCTACCCCTCCTGTTACACAAAGGGATAGGATGTTTAAATGACACTAAGGAACCCAAGCAAGACTCACATCAGTGCAGTGAAACTTCAAGAGTGAAATATCTTTAAGAGGTGAGATCACACTGAAGACAAGTTTTCAGACACTTAGAAAACAGATGTCCCACGTAATAAAATTCATGTACAACAGCTTTTTGCCTAGATGTAGCATGCTACTGCTTCAGCTTTGCTACTCTACTAAATTCTGTAATTTACAAGACAGTATAATGGAAGTTGTTTATATATAGGTTTTTCAATGCTTTTCTGAGCTTACACCATTGATCTACTTCAAGAGATTACCAAGATTAACTAAAAATCTTTACAATATTTTAAGTAGTTTACTGTACATAAATCAAAGTGTTCCAGCAAGAGCTGCATGGTTTTGGGGGGAAGAGAAACGGAAACTTAACACTTTATGACTGTTTAATCATATTAATTTGTTTTGAGTATTTCAGATATAATCATGTCACAGACACACAGGGGTTTGTACATTTTAAAATTCTTACTTTACATCAATATATATATATTTAATTTCAAATTTTCTAGATATAATGTTTGAGAAAAGACATAGTAGCTGCTTAATGCTACAGCTGGGATTTTCTTCTTCTGAAGCCGTGTTATTTCTTAAAGGACAGGGGGATTAATTTCTTCTCAAGCTAACCTAGATATGAAGAGGAACTGAAAAGTTATCTTTTCATAAATAACTGGGAAAAAGAAAAATTAATACTTCCAGGAGACTTCCTGAGTCTCTCTTGCACTAAATTTGTTGACAGGCTAGCTTTTCTACACTCTGTTTTGTGGACTCCCTTAGTGGTTACCCATAGACTCAGAAAATGCATATAACAAGTTACTTGCTAGGCAACTAATTAAATCACTTTATGAATCCCCTTAGAGCAGACCTGTTCTCAGGCTGCACGTTTGTTTGTGCTCAGAGCCATGCTTACACACAAACACGGGACAGAAACCACACAGATACATAAATGCCTTCATTTATTCCCCTTTTATACTATCTTTTAAAAGACACAGACAGTCTGATTCTTAAATTGCCATGGAACTTGTAATCCCAGGAGTGTGCTACTCTGTTTTATCTACGACCTCCATATGTAGCACTTCTACTGAACACTTGCATGGTTCTTATCTTGCTCCCTCTAAGTCCCACCTACACCATTTTTTATTAACTGTAGCAGAATCTCCTGCTGGAGGCAACTATGTTTCCTCAGGCTTATTTTTCAGGGACACTGCTTTTGTAATCAGGTATCTATAGCTTATTTTTTTTTGTTGTTGTTCAGTAAGGAAGAAGCAAGAACAGAGAAGCCAGAGCTACGAGATCCGTAAACAGGATGCAGATGACAGTGAAACACCACCCTCCAGACTCACATCTATTTTGAAGGGCAAGGAAACAGAGCAGTTTTGCAGCTCAAAACTTTATCAGGACTTCCAGAGCAAGGTTGTTGACAAGAGGCTACATGTAACCTTGGTGAGCGCCTCCTATTTTTGGTCGATGTTTTAAAAACAAAGGAAGAGGAGATACTTCAGTCTAGTTCTGTCTTCCTTATTCCCCAATCTGCCTGTTCTACTTGCTGAAGCTGTCCCCACACCACAGCAATCTTCTCCTCCTCCCACTGAATCTCTCCAGCTTTAGCTGAGTCACTAGACGATTTGTTACCCCTCAGATCTCAGTTTTTCACGATTGCCTTCTAGAAAGTGATGAAAACTGAAAAAGATGAAAGTTTCCAAGGATGAATGAGCTTTGGTGGTTCAAGAGAGTGACCATACTTGTTGCCTGAATTAAGTTATGATCAGCTCAAAAAAAGAAAGGAAAAAAAAAAAAAGTGGAATGCTTTGATGTCCCAGATGCCTTCCCCGAGGTTAAAGATCAGGGCTCACGTATCTCCAGCTGAGCACATAAGTCCTGAAACCAACAGTTTCCATGTGATCCAGCATTCTTTGTATTGTCTGCGAGCTTTGTTGAATTTAAGGTCAGTTAGGAGGATAAACTTGGGGTTTCCAGGGCCCTATTATTTCCTCTGGGAACTTGAAATATCTAAGTCTGGAAATCGCTTGAAAGTATCAAGTATAGTTTGCTCCTTTTCAAAGGAGCACTGCCCCTTGTCTCTGCCACTTGCTGTGTGACAAGTCACTTCACATATCCCTGTCACCAACCCCCCCCCATCCTCCCTGGTGATTACACTCTCAGATTTTTTGGGACAAGGCTTTCTCTTTCTCTGTGTTTGTCGAGGGGAGGCCTCATCTCCACTCTTGTAGGTAATACAAGGACTATAATGCTAATCCCAAAACAATCAGAGGAATGTGCAATGTAGAGATCTGTCTGCACCTGAAGATGGGAGATAGTCTCTTTGCTCTTTTGGTTCTTTGCCTCCTCCTAGGTTCTCTCTTCAGCTTTACCGAATTCAATCTAGGACTGCAAAACACACCGATTGTGTGAGTCTCAGTAAGTTTTATTTCCTTCTCCCCCCCAGGTTAGTTTTCCTCTCGTTCCTTGGAATGGAATCCTTCGAAACGACAAGGAGCAGAGGAAATGGCAACAAATTTTGCCGGACCAACAAAAGCAGCCTGCCTAGCCCAAAGCCTTCCTTGAAACTCTCTAAGCCCTCTTTTGGGTCGCTAACTGAAATTTAAAAAACCACCCGTGTGGTGAAATAAAATTGAAACTTCCATTTTTTTACCGTTACGTGTGCTTTTCATTCAGTTTCAGAACAACACGAAGAGAACACAAGTAAAATCTAAGCAAAACGAAGACACTCTTT